TTTTAATGGATCAAGTCCAAGAATCGTAACGGTTATATGATTTGATATTACAAATCAGTTAAAAAATAACAGTTATTTTGTGGCCTAAATAAAAAATTAATTTTAATTATTTATTTTTTAAAGGAAAATATAAACGTTGATTTTTAACTGTTAAAAATTATTGTTGTTTTTTTCCGAAAAAAAAACTCTTTTAGGGATTTTTATATTTTCCCTCAAAAATAAAAATCATTCTGGAGTTTTATATTTTTCGCCTGGAGTTTTATAAATCACCATATAGCGTTTGATACCAGTTATATAACTTTTGACCTAATAGTCAGAGGAATGATTAATATTCTTAATTTGATGATTTAATATTTTTAATACACTGAACTATTTTTTAAAATTCTGTTTGATGATCGTTCGGTTGAAGGTCAATGAAAAAACGTTTGTTTTTGTTTAACTTTGTTTTTTATTTATTTTTCCAATATTTCGATTGTCATCGACAATCATCTTCAGGTATATTTATATTAGTGTAAAGGAAAAGCGTCTACATTACTTTAACGTCACAGTCAAAGTAATGTAGACGCTTTTCCTCTACACTAATATAAATATCCCTGAAGATGATTGTCGATGACAATCGAAATATTGGAAAAATAAATAAAAAACAAACGTTTTTTCATTGACCTTCAGCCGAACGATCATCAAACAGAATTAAATATTTTTTAAAAATTTATAACAAATATTTTTTACCTTTGCCATTATTAATTTCTCAAATGAGACTACCTTCTATAATTATGCCATGCACACATACATATAAAAAAAAAGTGAAAAGTTCAAAATTATATAATTGAGTATTTATTTATCAGATTGTTGAAGATATAAATTATGTGTTATGTATATTTTATACTTGACGTGTTAATCTTGTGGTCAACTAATTTTATCTCCGCAAATTAAATATTTCTCCAATGAGGCCAAGTTTTTATTTCATTGTATAGAGCCGTGCCGGGACATGATGTTGCTTTGGTTTGGCGATGTCCTAATAGAGTATAATTAGTCTTTAAATAGCCTCCACTAACTGCCTGAGCTATCAAGTCTTTTGCATTCTGCAACATTTGTTCCGATGGTTTACTGCCTAAGGGTTAATCAAGATTAGTTTGATATTTTGGTTTTCAATAGATCTTTAATAATTTGTCTTACTCTCAAAGTTGCCCAGAAAAACAATGCCGATGCTGTTGCGATTGTACTTTGGGGCATGCGATCCTTGGTACCCCCATCCTCGACCCTCATACACATTACCATCTCCGGCAATAATGAAATTGTAACCAATGTCGCTGAAGTTACGACGACTTTTGTGGTCACTCTGTATATTTTTTATTAGTCGCTGACAGGAAGTTTCCGAATTACATCCACTTGGGTTGTCAGAGTGATGAATAATGACATAGTCTACAGCGCCATTGATACGAACTGGAGATCGTGCTGAAGCAGCTCCCCAACTACTGCGTGGTTTTATGGTAATTCCATTGCAATGGTGAAAAACTAAACAATCCTGTTGGATGAGGTTGCCACGAGCTATATATCAGAACAGTCATACTTACCCAGAACCAGCAAAGAAATATATTTTATTAGTTCTGTATTCATATTGATCTTCACGGCGAATAATATTATGAGTAATACTTGTTTGGATGCGGTTATTGTGTGAGCGTTTATTCTGGCGAACAGAGCTTTTTATATCAATCTTTTCTAAATGATCTTTAGGTTTTGCTTATTAGTTTGACACCAAAGAGAATTTTTTATTTGTTTTGAGACACAAGGGGAATTACTTGTCGATTCTGTTCATTAGGGGATGTACAAAATCCGTAGGTTAGATTCATTGTTTATATTAATTTGGTAAAATTTCACAGAATATGTGTAATTAAACATTTTTTCTCCACTTGGATTTCTACATTGGATTTGTAAAGTATATTCGTCTGTTGAGATTTGTTCAGTAACTCGTGGAAATAATGTTACCATTCATCCATTCCTTATATGCAGCGACCATACGTAGAAATAAATTATGAGGTGCAGAATAATGATTTATAAAAAAATAAAAACAGGTTTATGCAATAGCATGTGAAACACAGTATTCGACTAATGATAAGAATTGTATTTAATAAATAACAATTAACTCATACATAAAACCACACTACTGTTGGATTATCAGTTTATATAGATATGGGAGTTTTACCTTATTTATTTTCCCAAATAAATAATCTTGTGGTTCAAAATTAAATGTTTTTATTAAACTAATTAATACTTAAACATAAATAAAATTAAATGAAGTTAAACGCAATTCTTAAGGAGAACAGTGGCGGACGCTTGCTTACTGTTGAACGTTTATCCAGCGAAAGAGAACGAAGAAGGAACGAGTTGGTTTACAATGCAAATATGTGCGAATATCGAGTTACAAAAGGAATGTAACGACAGGGTGCCACATTACTCCCCGCGCTGAAAAATGTCATCTAAAGCGAACTGGAAGCCTAACTCGTCTACCGCTAGTAGTATTCTTCGAAGCGGCTTCCGATTTGCCATTGCCCGTGGAGCTAGATTTACCTGGGTTGAGATCGGTGGCATTCGGTACGTTTGTAACCAATTCCGCATCTTCAACCGTAGGGTGCATAGTTGGTGTTGTGAACGTTGTTGACTGTTGTTGGGGCGTTGTTGGTGTATCAGTATAGTCTGAAGGTGCACAGAAGAATGGTTTTAGTCGATCGATGCTAACGTTAGAGTTGCGATTCCGAATGCGAAGGGTAAAAAATTTCGAATTCCTTTTCAAAACTAAGTACGGTCCATCATACGGTCGTGTTAGTGATGGCTTGATCGAGTCGTTTCTGACAAAAACGTGAGTCGATGAGAAGAGATCCTTTGACACGAAAGTCGTGTTATTTGCGTGATGAGCGGTTTTAGTGGGTCTTAACTTCTCCATAGCATTCCGAAGCTCGGACACAAAATCGCTTGTAGGAGGTTCTTGGGAACAGTTTTTGTGAAAAAATTCACCTGGAATTCTTAAAATTGTGCCGTAGACTAGTTCTGCCGGAGACGCATTGATATCTGGTTTGAAGACTACACGCAACCCTAGTAAAATCATCGGCAAATGTTGTACCCATTTAGATGTATCGTAGCACAAGATGGCTGTTTTCAAAGTTCGATGCCATCTCTCGATGAGACCGTTCGACTGTGGGTGGTACGGGGTAGTGCGCAAATGGTTTGCACCAATCGTCTGCATAAGTTCTGCAAAAACTGCAGATTCAAATTGTCGGCCTTGGTCAGATGTTATACGGGCTGGTACTCCAAATCTGGATACCCAATGAGTTACAAGCGCTCGTGCAATCGTTTCGGCTGACATATCTGGAAGCGGGACTGCCTCAGGCCATCTTGTAAAACGGTCGATTATTGTTAAGCAGTATCGTTGACCTTCGCACAGAGGAAAAGGACCAACGATATCGATGTTGATGTGTGAAAATCTTTCTTGGGGTGGTTCGTACCTGGAAATTGCTGATTTTGTGTGACGGTGCGTCTTCGAACGCTGGCACTGCAAACAGTTTCTTACGAAAATGGCGGTGTCTTTTTTAATTCCAGGCCAGCAGAATCTTGCGGTCATCAACTTTATGGAGGCACGGCTCCCAGGATGAGACAGGTTGTGTACTGCAGACAGGACATGATGCCTAAACTCTTTAGGAATATAAGGGCGCACTCGAGATGTTGACGTATCGCAGACAATTCGTTCGTTACAACCTAAGGTGAATAAATGCTTTAGAACAAGAGAATGTGTCTTCGTACCTGAATAATGCAGTAGCTGCTGCAATTCCTTATCATTCGTCTGTGCCGCTGCAATATCGGAAAAGTTTATGGCCATGTCGAGTGATTGGATTCGAGAAAGGGCATCAGCAGGTGCATTTTCCGGTCCAGGCGTATACCGTATGTCGGTCGTGAATTGGCTAATGAAATCGAGTTGGTTTATTCTTCGTGGTGAAGCTTTCTCCATACTCTTGCTGAATGCGAAAATTAGAGGACGATGGTCCGTGAAAATCGTACATTTACGTCCCTCTATAATATAGCGAAAATGGTACACCGCTTGATACATTGCCGCTAATTCACGATCGTACGTTGAATACCTTTGTTGTGTGGGCGTAAGCTGTTTGGAATAAAAAGCAAGAGGCTGGAGATCGGCATCGATTTTCTGGTGTAATACAGCCCCAACCGCTGTGTCAGAAGCATCAACGTATATGATCATATCGGCATTAGGAACTGGATGAGCCAATAGCGCTGAGTTAGCCAACTCAGTTTTACATCGACCAAATGCGGCTTCGGTATCTGATGTCCACACGAGGGGTGTACTGTCGTTTTTTTTATTACCAGGAACCATCTCCTGTAAAATAGCTTGGTAGGATGTTGCATGCGGCAAAAACTTTCTATAAAAATTTAACATTCCGAGAAATCTTTTTAGTTGTTGCGCAGTTTTTGGTTGAGGGAAATTTTTGATGTGTTCAACTTTTTCAGGTAATGGTCGAATACCTTCGCTGTTGACGAGGTGTCCCAAAAATGTTAATTCGCCTTTACCAAATTCACATTTGGCTAAGTTGATCGCTAGATGGTTCTCACGAAGCCGTTGAAATACAATGCGAAGGTCCTGACGATGTTGCTCTAGTGTTGACGACGCGACGAAGATGTCATCAATGTACGGAAAAACAAAATCGACTCCTCGGAAAATCTCGTTGATAAGACGCTGAAACGTTTGAGCGGCGTCCTAAATCTAATTTGACACGTTTTTCGCCAATGATCTTTATGGGAGACCCATTGGCTGCGTATAGGACTACAGAAGTGGGACGGATATCGAAAGATTTCGCAATCAATGGTAATATCGAGACGTCGGCGCCACTGTCCACTAAGAATTTCATTTTGGTGTACTCGTCCTTTACTTGTAGGCGAAATATTTGACCTTTCGTGAAACAATTTTCGCCGAAATTATCCACGGGCCCCGGATGTCAATTGTTTTCGCCGGACCGCACTTCATTCGCTTGGTGTTGTTTGTACTTACATGGGCTTCGACACTTTTGCGCTTTACGGCCATATGTCCGATGGTACCAACATTCTTCAAAAGAATCGTTGTTGTTTTGGCTCTTGTCGCGCCTTCGAGATTGATTTCGTCCTGTGGTTGGCCTGCGGGATCGAGAACGTGATCGCAAAGAAAATTCGTCCAGCTCCTTACCCATTTCCACTATTGCTGCCCGCAAATCGTTTAGCTCGCTCTTTGATTGGTCTCTCACTTGACACAATTGTCCGGGTGAAACAGCATCAACAATGGAATCTGCGATTTTCGTAAACTCTGCCGCTGTACCCGTTGACGCAGCCACAACAGGCTGAACAAACTGAGGCAGCCGCTTCGTCCATAACCCCTTTAAAGCTGCTTCGCCCAAAGTACTACCAGCTACTCGCTTCATCTCAAAATACAGCTCGGACGGTTTTCTGTCGCCAAGGGGTAGTTCGGACAACAGTCTGTTGAGACGCCTCTGCTCACTGTCTGCAAAATGCTCTATTATTTTGCGCCTGATATAATCGAATCTGTCTGTCACCGGAATCGCTGCAATAACCTCGGTTAACTGCGAAATTACATTAGGGCTTAACGCTGTTAGCACGGTGGCTGCCTTTTGCTTGTCTGAAATAATACCCGATGCTGTAAACCAGAAGTCCATGGTTACAAACCAAGCTTCAATATTGCTGTTGCACATTTGCGGGAAAGGCAGTCGAGCATAAACGGCTGAGACACTAGCTGGTAGAGAATCTGCATTTCTGCCTTCGTTCGCCTTATTCTCTGTAGCCGCTGAAGATAAGCCATTGTCGTCGTTCATTTGACTTGCAGGAATGTCGGATGTTCAATTTTACAACTGTTCTTCTTACGGTAGTTTTGTTGCTTACTTTAATTACCACAAGATCACGTCGGGGTCACCACTTATGGGAGTTTTACCTTATTTATTTTCCCAAATAAATAATCTTGTGGTTCAAAATTAAATGTTTTTATTAAACTAATTAATACTTAAACATAAATAAAATTAAATGAAGTTAAACGCAATTCTTAAGGAGAACAGTGGCGGACGCTTGCTTACTGTTGAACGTTTATCCAGCGAAAGAGAACGAAGAAGGAACG